AAAACTCTCTGCAAATCAACAATCAGATGAGTTAGAAGAAATTTTTTGATCCGACGCATACCTCTATATATAGAAGTTTTGATCCGACACAACTTTACATACATGAATAGAAATATAACTCCCTTGAGACTTTTTTACCTAAGACTTTCAATAGTTGTCGCCAAAGTCTATTTTAGTTTACTTTCTTATACAATCACGTGTGACATTCACGCTATATTTTACAACACTAACCTAGTTCTTTGTCTGTTTTTTTATTTTTTTTATTATATATTTTTTATTATTTTGACCAACTATAGTTTAAAGTAGTAAGTTACGCGATTGATCGAAGGGTTACAAACTTACATGGGTTTAAATGATGTGGTAATGGCAAGCCGTCATTTATTATAGTGCCGAAAATGAGTTGAGCTTTTGTAATGACGGTTACAATTTAACATCTAAACTAACAAAATATATCGTTTGACAAAAAAACAATTATGTGGTATTGAGGTGGCACCTGATCATTGGAAATACAAAAGTTACTGCTGATTGTACAACCGCAAGGAATTCCCATCCCAAGAAGAAACTCTCTTATCCTCTCCATCCCTAACGGCCTTACCAACCACTTGGCGCCATTTTCTTCAGAAGAACTGAAAAAGCAAAGAGGTAGCTCAGCAAATGACCATGCTCCTCGCACCACCCGGCCATTGCCTCTTTCCGCTTCGCCGCATCCACAAACCCTACTCACTAAGCAGAACTCGGACGACTCGGTTCTGCTGCAGGGCAAGTCTGAATCTGATCACGAACTCTGACTCGTTCGAGGTGGGTCGACTTATTGGGAGCTATGGCTTCATGAACATCACTAGGTATCGTTTATTCAAAACTGATTTCACTTTCTGTTTGGTTTACAAGAAAATAAAAAGGGAGAAAATAATAATGAATTAGATTTCTTGTGGGTATTTTTTTTCCCTGATTGAACAATTAGAACGAAGGTTAGGCTTTCGATTCGTTTGAATTTGTAAGTGATTCTGTTACTTAGTGTTTGGTAGCTAAGAAAATGGAGAAGATGAACTATTTCTAATTCTACATGGTTTTTTTATTCCTTGGTTTATAATTTTTTTTTTCCTTTCTTTTATTTGATGTGAATTAATTTTGGCATCAATTTAATGGAAGAACATGTTCGTGTTTCTTTTTTGCTTGTGGTTTCTCATTTCCAATGCCTGAAACAGCTCTTCGGGGTCTCCTTTGGGCGCGGATGCTGAGTACTCATCGGGGGATGTGGGGCGGTTGAGAGTCCAAGATGTAGGAGAAGGCAGTGTAAAGATCAGGTACATTCTGGATTCTACAGGATATATATTTGTAGTAATGCCCTGCATTAATTAAGTAGAGTTATTACAAAGCAAGTACTTCTTAATGGTATTTATCCTCTTAATGTTGGAAGAGACCTAAGTTCGATTCCCCCATACCCGCTTTATAAAAAAATGTGCTTCTAAATGGAGAAACACTCTTGAGTAGTAAATATGCAGAAGCGTAAAACACAATACATACTCATGCTCTCTGTGAATCATTCATTTGTTGCCTTGCTGCGAGCATGACATGACTAAACGTGGTGGAGCATGGCACTACTAATGGTCTTATCAGTTTGAGGAAAGTAGCTCAAAGGAAACTTGTAATGTGAATATCTGTGAACTGTTATCTTTCTGGTGCTGATAGTACTCATGGCAGTTCTTTTGCAGGCTGTATGATGGGAGAGTCTCTCAGGGTCCGCTGAGAGGGACTCCGGTTGTTTTTAAGGTGATATTGTTATCAATGGCATCATTCTCATCAGATCATTTCAATTTTATAGGCTCATTATTTTTACTGAACAGTAGCATTTTTAACCATGAAGGTTTATCCTGGACAACGGGCTGGTGGGAATGAGGCAGATATGATGGCTGCTAATGAGCTAAATGCTCACTTTTTCCTTCAAGTAATCCAGTTATAAATTACCCTCTAAATGATTGCATTTGCCCGAACCTTTTGCTAACTTCTTACAATTCAGATCACTACTAAAAGAGTGAAATCTTTTTCTTTTCTATATTTTTTCAATGTAACTCATTTCTTTTGCTTTTGCAGAACAATTCAAATGACATCTGTCAGAATCTTGTGTTACTCATAGGTGGGTTTGAAACGAAAACTGGGGAGCAGGTTTGTCATGTGTAATTATTTCTCAAGACTTTGCATATACAAAGAGTTTATTAATTCTTTTGGTAGAAACAATGAATGAATGAGGAAATTTATCATGTGCAGTGGCTTGCTTTTCGCAATCACGGGAAAGCTAGTGCAGCAGATTATGCCAAAGTGATGAGTGAAAGAGTCTCAAAAACCCGTGCTGACGGAGGACAAGTTTGGAATAATTTTGAACAAGAGGAAACTATCAAACGCAGAAGATATTTTGTTACAAAGCTGCTGCAGGGCATTATGAGAGGTTTAGCTTACATGCATGATCGTGAGAGGTTGCACCAGAGTCTTGGACCAGCTTCTGTTATTCTTAAGTATGTTGCTTTGAGATATCTATTTTGGTTCGAGATAGTGCTTCATCTGAATAATGTGTTACGATTCTTCTGTTCACTTTGTTATATCCCCACTAAAACTTCACTGCTTGCAGCACAATTGTAGAGAGAGATGCTGTTTACTTAGTACCTCGACTTCGGGATCTAGCATTTTCTGTTGACATTGGGTATGATTCCTGCCATCTGATTTGCTTGTTCTTGTAATTTTATTTGTGTGCATAATTTATCCATAGTCAAGATTTTGTACTTTGTCCAAGTGAGTCTTTGAACATTGTAATTTTTTATGTCCTGTTTATTAATCTACCAACGACAAAGGAGGGGGTAACCAAAGAGAACACAGAAGAAAATGTTGTTATTGAATCTCTTCAGTTGATCAATTAATTTGAAGGAAAATAATAGTGATTTTGTAAGGCTAATGCTATTGTTACATATATGGTTATCTGTTTTATTAAAGAAATACATATAGAAAATAATCGAATAACAGTTGGTGGATTCATATCTTATAACGTCTGAATATCCTCCAAACACATCGTTTCCTAGGTACTCAAAGCTAGAAGGGGATCCTGGATTACTCTCGGAGGGACTTTGGAGACGAGCATATACTGCTGGTGCATTCACTCCTATGGAAAAAAGAGCCTTCGGAATAGCAGATGACATGTAATTTTCTGAAAGTTTTGCTTCATTTAGAAGATTGAATCTGCCTCATAATCTTTATGCCTTCTTCATATTGTTCCGTGCAGATATGAAGCAGGTCTTCTCTTGGCATACTTAGCATTCTTACCATTCTGTGAAGCAGGGATAATGGATGGCCTTTCCTTGCAAGTAAGCTATCCTGTTAACACATATACCTTTCTTTTGTTTTTGTTCATGGATTCTTTTTTCCCATTCGTCATATAAGTAACGGATGTAGGAGAACACAGTGGATACCACATGATTATTGTGATTGAGAGACAACGTTAATAGTAGGCAAACAGTGTTAGAGAAAAGAAAAAGATGAGTTAGGATGGTTATGCAGAGACACTGGAGTCTTTAGAAAATCCAAGCAACTTTACTCTTAAAATTCTGGAGATTGATTCCTGTCTGAGAAAAATGAAATAAATGGTCCGACTCTTGACCATTTCTTTGATAACCAAGTTGATGTTACTACATCAGTTATAATTTTTTTATGTGGTGAACTTGCAGAGGCTTTTGGAGAGCACTTTCCAACTTGATATCGGAGCAACAAGAGAGTAAGATACCTTTGATATCATAAAGTTAAGATCTTTTTGCAGATTTTGTATTGGTTCTGCTTCAATTTCTTAGTTTCTTCCCGTTTACCCATTGTGGCAGATACTGTTTAGCAGATGACCGGCTATTAGATGCCGTAAATTTTCTGGATCTTGGAGATGGTGCTGGTTGGGAGTTACTCCAGGTTGAATTATACTTAGCAACAATAATTACTAATGTCAATATCATTTCATTAATACAATCTAATACAATAATATTTGACTTGGGTCTAGGCAATGCTGAATCCAGACTTCCGAAAACGGCCAACTGCACAGGCTGTTCTGAATCATCGGTTCATGACGGTTGGCAGCCTTTGAGACTTTGGATCGAAGCATTTGGTTTGTTGTTGTGTATATCGAAGGATAAATGTACATGGAACGTACATCAAATGATTGAAATTTATTTGCAGACATATATAGTTGATGTTGTTTTGCAACAAGAATAATGTTGAATTCCTTGTCTTGGTGTTATGTGTTGCCAAACAAATACACCCGAACCGTAAAACAGTCATCGCCAAAACGGATACCATATACCAAAACAACCCATAATACTCTCCTCAAAAGATCTACGGGTGGAAAAAACAAAAACGTGAAAAAACTGAAATTCACCCGAACCGTACAAATACCGAACTGAAAAACATACCAAATCGATAATACCAAAAAATTTAATAACCCAAACCGAACCAAAACCAAAAATTTGTATCAATATCACGCATATGTTAATTCAGTGAGATAGAATCGAACCAAATTAAATATATGATGTATAATATTATAAATTATTATGGTCATCCAATTAGTTGAGATTTAATCTTAACCATTGAATTGAACTCAACCCGCTCTCTTAACCTCAGCTCATTCTCTTCTGCTATGTGACAGTGATTCTATCTCTCTCTCTCGACTCCTCTTCGACTCTCTTTCTTGCTTGAGACTCGACTCCAGCTGCACCACACACTGGCACTCTCTGGGGAGACTCCTCTCCCACTCTCTTGTGAGACTTAACCTACTCTCTCACTTTTTAGTGTAGATAGTATCGCTTGTTAAAATAATACTAATAATAAATAAATAAAATGTTTTAATGAGAAATAATGCCGCGAGACTTGCATACATGGGCCAGTCAAATAACTCAAGAATCCACTTAGGCCCAATACATTTTTTGACGAGGACGGATCCGGTCAAAAACAAAAGTTACTACCTGCCCTAAAATTAAAATCCAATCCCAAAATTAAACGACCAAACGCCGGGTGAGGGAGAGAGAGATGCAAAAGAGGGAGCAAAACAAGTCTAGTGGCGGAGGTGGCGGAGCCTCGCAGCCGCCGGCGAAGAGAGGCCGCCCATTTGGCAGCGGCGGAAACAGCGCCGCAGCTGCTGCCGCTTCCACCGACGACACGGCAGCTCTGTCGACTCTCCTTGGTCCTTCCCTTCACGTCCACAGTTCCTTCGCCGGTCAGTTTATCAAAACCCTACTTCACATCTCAATCTGAAATTCTCGAAATTTTCAATTTTTCCATGAAGTGTTAGATGTATGCAATTATTAATCCTGGGGTTGATACAAATTGCCGAATAATAAATGAAAAGAAATCAAAGTGAAGTAACAATTATCAGAACTTTTACTGAGCTAGGTGGGCTGTAGTAATGCTAATAACGGTACCGGTTTTGGTAGGAAAGCTCCTTTTTCGAGCATTGTGGAGTCGATGTTCTTACCAATTCATATTACCTGTATTGCAGATCAGAACAATAAAAGGATAGTCCTGGCTCTTCAAAGCGGCTTGAAGAGTGAGCTGACATGGGCGTTGAACACTCTCACATTACTCTCTTTTAAAGAAAAAGATGACATGCGCAAAGACGCAACCCCTCTTGCCAAGATTCCTGGGTTGCTTGATGCTCTCCTCAGCGTTGTACGTCTTGAACTCTTTCGCTTCCTGATTTATATAATTTTGTTTTTACGCTCAAGTTTTAGGTAGCTCTCAGTTGGTCATTTTGCATTTCAAATTCAATAGTATTATTATTTTAATAACACGCTCACAAATGAGAGCAGATGAACAATTGGTTGTGGAATAGCATTCCCCAGGTTGTGAACTATCTTGTTCCAGCCAGTATCTATTGACATTTGACCCCATGTTGGCGGGATTCTGTCAATAACAGGTTGATGATTGGCGTGATATAGCCCTTCCAAAAGAACATGTAAAGGCCCCCAGAGTAAGAACTTTGGGTGCAAATTTGGTTGTAACAGGGTTTGGAAATGAGTACGAGGCATTGGGTTCAAATGGCAATGTCCCGCATCCTGGGTAAGCTCTATAGATATATAGTAATTTCATGAGTGAATTTGTGGTTTGAGTGTCTGAAATTGTTTTTGATACGATGAACTGATTGTGGGAAAATATTCATGTGGCAGCTTGGGATCCGGTACTCAAGAAGCATTAGTGCTGAGTGCTGTGACCAAACTCCGTGCTTCTTCGGAGTGGTGGCATGATGAAGATGGTCTGTTTAACCTAGATGAAGAAGGTCGAGCAGAAAGGCAGCAGTGTGCTGTTGCTGCTTCAAATATCATTCGCAACTTCTCTTTCATGCCAGAAAATGAAGTCATTATGGCCCAACATCGCCATTGTCTGGAAACAGTGTTCCAGTGCATAGAAGATTATGTCTCAGGTGAGAAGTGTTATCATTGAAATCATTATTTATTTCTTGACTGCAGTCTGTCTGCAGTGTATAATTTATTGTCTCAACTCTAAAATTCTTTTTCCTGTATAATTGTCTATGTATGTGAAATAAATGTTTAAAAAGATTTCATGTAACATCCAGTTTCAAACTCTATGGTGGTGATGTCTTCTTTTAGTTCAGTTGTTAAAGATGTGCAGATCGTATATACTTTCCAATTTCAAATCTTGTAGTTTATAGATAGGCTTATTTTAGTATTTTACTGGCAGTAAATCTTGTAGACTTAATTGGTTTGGAACTTTTCTTCTTGTATGCTTCTTTCATGATTGAGCTTCATACCTTTTCCTATTGGAAATCCTTTTCAGAACAAAGAAAATAGTAACCTTCCAGTTTGCTTTTCTGGTTAGAATTTTAGTGTAAATGACTCCAGTGCTTCCTTTGTTAACAGAGGATGAGGAACTTGTGACAAATTCTCTTGAGACACTTGTGAATTTGGCTCCGTTGCTTGACCTTGGAATTTTCAGCTCATCAAAGCCATCCTACATAAAGATAACGTGAGAATTGTGATCTTCTTTTTCGAGCTTACGCTCTCTTTGTTATCCATCTGTTTGATAAATTAATTGATTTTCTATCAAACAGAGGAAAACGTGCAGTTCAAGCCATCATGGGGATGCTGGGGTCTGTAGTCAAAACCTGGCATTGTGCTGCAGCTGAGTTACTTGGGCGTTTGGTCATAAACCCTGATAATGAACCGTTCCTTCTTCCCTTTGTTCCACAGGTTAATATTCAGAAATTCCTCTGTTACAAAAGTGTTTTGACATTTTTGAAATATTGTATCTTTGTAATGACGCTCTGTGAACACTGCAGATACACAAGAGATTGGTTGATCTTATGAGCTTACCATCGGTAGATGCACAAACAGTGCATGGGGCCCAAGCGGCTGCAGTTGGTGCACTCTACAACCTCGCTGAAGTGAATATGGACTGCAGGCTAAAACTTGCTAGTGAGCGATGGTAAGGGCTCTTCCGCTAAAAAAAATCCCAAATACTGAATCATTTCATTTGATCAGCAGTTTGAAATCAAAATATCGCTGAGATGACATTTCTTTCGGAACAATTTCAGGGCCATTGATCGATTGTTAAAAGTCATCAAGCAACCCCATCCAGTTCCTGAAGTTTGCAGGAAAGCTGCGATGATATTGGAAAGCCTTGTGTCTGAACCACAGAACCGAGCGTTGCTGCTAGCTTATGAGAATGCATTTGCTGAGATAGTATTCTCAGATGCCAGGTATTCTGATACCTTTGCCAGGATTTTGTATGAAGTGACGTCTAGACCTAACCACAAAGTGGCAGCAGCCCGTGGTGTTTGGGGCATGTAACTAATAATTGTGTCCTCTGATGAATTTTCTCTGTATAAAAAGTATTGGATTGTTCGCCTGCTGACAGGTAAGTCTAGGATCTAATGTTTGTAGCAGTTGTCTTAAGAAAATTTAGTCAGATCCTTAAGTGGTACTCCCCTTCAAATACTCCATTGCGTAATTTGCAAAAATTTTTTTTTAATGAGAAACTAAACTGTTGTTCTGTGTAGAGATGTTTCGGTTCTGATTCTGTTGTATACTCTTTAGAACGTGTCTGATACCATGCACTCTATTCGGTTGCTTGTTTTCAGTCGACCTTGTTAGATTGAGACTTTTGTTCGAATTCGTAGAGTTTGCAACTTGATAGGAATTTTGAAATTTCGTGATGAGCATTTTGCCCTGTTCATTTCTGTGCTGGGATAGAACAACTTTTGAGACTAGATTTTGGCCCACTAATCAGTTGTAGTGATGTTTAATTATACGCAACAGCCAACGTTGCGATAGAATTACATTTAAATAAATCATCGTACAGAAACACAATTAAATCACACAATATGCCTCCCCAAAATATACGAGGTTTAGTTAAGAAGCAACGGCTGACACTTTAGGCACCTCTACAGGAAACTCATGAATCTCATCAATCCAAGGGTTCTTCTCCTGAGCTGGTTTAACAGTCCTCAACGCCTTCCACACCGCGCTGTTGCACTTGAACCCTGACCCGAACGCAATTTGCCACATCCTGTCTCCCTTTCGGACTCTTCCCTTGGCCTCAGAGTAAGCCAGCTCGTACCACAATGAGCTGCTTGAAGTGTTCCCAAACCTATAGAGAGTCATCCTCGATGGCTCCATGTGCCAGTCGCTGAGCTCAAGGTTCTTCTCGATCTCATCCAGCACCGCTCTCCCTCCGGCGTGAATGCAGAAGTGCTCAAACGCCAGCTTGAAATCCGGGATGTAGGGTTTGATGTTCTTCATCTTGAACACCTTTCTTGCCACCAAAGTAGCAAAAAACAGGAGTTGTTCTGACATGGGGAGGACTATTGGACCAAGTGTGGTGATGTTGGTTTTTAGGGCTTCACCAGCTACAGCCATCAAGTCCTTCGAGAGAGCAACGCCGACTCTTTTCGTGTCGTCCTCCTTTTGGAATACGCAATTATATGCCCTGTCGTCTGCACCCTTGTGCGTGCGGACCGCGTGCATGAGCTGGTACTTTGAGCGGCGGTGGTCAGAGGAGCGGTTGGAGAGGAGGATGGCCGCGCCGCCCATTCGAAAGAGGCAGTTGGAGAGAAGCATAGAGCGGTCATTGCCAAAGTACCAATTGAGAGTGATGTTCTCCATGCTTACCACTAGGGCATAAGAGTTATGGTGCACCTGTTACATTAGTACAAATTCAGAAATGATTTTACCCAATTTAGGGTCTTAATAAAACAAAGCCAATTTATTTCATGATCAACATGATGATACCCTACTTTTAAATTGATGCTCGTGGTGAAGAAGTTATTAACTGTAACTTGTGGTGAGTTCATAATAATAATCCTACTCCGTTATCAATTGCAGACATTAAATTTGATATATTTATTGTGCCCGATGGGGACAGAAAACGTCCTTTTAAAGACATCCCACATAATTAACCAGCTGGACATGTGGAAATGCTGTTAACTAGTAAAGTAGTCTCGCAATTGGTGTATAGCATTTATTGGGCATACGTATTCACCAATCACATTTATGTCACATATTTACTTCTCACGTCTCTTTATTTATGGTGAAAGGGTAATATATCTATACAAGTCAGGTGCGCATATGCATTTTGAATATAATTAACCACGTCAGAGTTAAAAAAATAAAATAAAATAACTCAGAAATACTTTTGTAGGAAGCATTTAAACATTTTTTTTTATGTTTATAGTCGGTTTATTATAAATTTGTTTGAAATTTTTATTGAAAATTCAAGTACTTCATAAAGAAGCATTTGACAAGTGTTTTTCTATAATCTATAACACTTTTAGCATTTGTGTCAAAACAGTCGAAAGCGTTTTTTAGACATTCCATAAACAATCCCACACGTGTTTAATAGCACTTTTCTTAAACTTATGATCGTTATCGATTACAGGTTATATGTATGTAAAAGGTATATAAAGATGATTTAGTAATATTTTATTTATAACCTAGTGCACTAATGTGAATTCGTCATCATGCATGTATAAAACACAATTATCCATATTAGGTGATAATTAAGATAAATAGTGTACAATTAACTAAAAATTAGATATAAAAAGGAAGTAAAAATTAGGAATTAGTAAAAAACCTGGAGAAGCTGCTTTGCAAGGTCAATAGAAATGAGACCAGCACTGCAACCCATCCCACCAAGGTTGTAGCTCACAACGTTCCCCCTAAGCTTGTAGTGATTCACAACCATGGACGACAAAGACGGCGTCGGATTGAACAAGCTGCAGTTCACCACCAGAATTCCAATATCCTTAGCCTTCACCCCAGTCTTCTCCAGCAACTCGTCGATCGCTCCAAACATCACCATCTCCGCCTCCTTCCTCGCCTCCACCATGCACGGGTTCGGTGGGACCCGCATCACGGCTTCAGGCATGTACGTATTCTGCCCGAGGCCAGACCTCTCGAGAATCTTCTGCTGAAAAGCCAAGTTCTCGTCGTAGAAGCTGCCCGTCAGCTTCGACCTCTCCATGAACATCTCACGTGTGCACATACGGGCCGGCTCGGGCTTGTAGCATGCGAAGTTCACCAAGTATATTTTTCTAGGGCGGGTGATGAAGTATACGGTGGTTAGGAAAACCAAGAGGCCGGAGCACAAAGTGACCGAGACGAAGTTGAACTTGAGCTGCTGCCACAGGTGGAAGAAGTCGTCGGCTGTGAGCGTAGAGAGGTGGGCGGCGGCCGCGGCAAGGAGAGGGACTAGTAGGAGGTAGAGGGCGTTGGAGATTAAGTAGTGGTACCCTAGCTTGACATATTTGAGCTTCACCGATAAAAGAAAGTTAGGAAGCGCAGGTTTGCGACTTCCTGCTGACTCAGGTCCCAAGTTCAATTTCTCTCCCTGGTTCTGATTCTGCACCGCCATGTTACAGTCTCAGAAACAAGACACTAGTCAAACTCACAAAAGGGAAAGATTTTGAAACTTTTTCTATATGTATATATAATGTTTGATGGGGAGAGTTTAGAGAGGGAGGAGAGTTGTGTGGTGATTTTAAAGGGGAGGAGAGGTAGAAGGAGGTGATGGGAGGATGCAACTACCCCAACGAACTTTTAATTGTGAAACGCGGGGGCATTGAATTTTATTTGGGCTCAATTTTGGATTTCGCTAAATGAAAAAATATCATGTGTTACTTATTTTTAAAACAAAAGAGCTCAATTTTGAATTTCGTTAAATAAAAATTGTCACGTGTTACTTATTTTTAAAGAAAAATAAGTAATATGTTTTCTATCAGTAAGCCCAAATTGCCAAAGTTTGACCCCTTTCTTGGTGAGTATTGCTGATTTGCCATTTTGATACAGCAACACAATTGATTGGAAAACATGAGAAAAAAAGAATTTCAATCAATTGTTTATGATAATTAGTTTATCAGACTATGCTTTGGACATACTGAAAAATTTCTTATAGTATGCATATGCGATTCTTCCCACACTGCACTCCAGTGTACACCTCATGAGGCCACGTGTCAATTTATGGTATACTCAATAATTTCTCACTCGTTGGTGAACTACATAGCACTTCTCCTCCACAATCTTATTCGGAGTTTTTTTTTTTTTTGATATTTCTCTTGTTTATGTTGAATTTTTTTGGTGTGATCTTCAACTTCTGATTTTAACCAGCCAACAAGATCATTAAAATAGTGGTTACATATAATAAATTAAACATGGGTATAACTTACAATGAATAAATAAAACATTGCGTATATAAATACTTCTTTCTATAAATAATCACATGAAATCTACACGTGTATAAATACAAAAGATCTAAAAAATATGGGAATTATTATTAGTATTCCAAAAATCTCATTTGGCACTCTAAACTTTCTTTAATTAGAAAGAAAAATACATTTGTGAGGAGTGTAGAATGAGATTTTTAGAATGCTAATAACAATTCCTAAAAATATATATGGAAGAAAGAGAAGTTGAAGTGAAATGTGAAAGAGAAAGTACATGGAAGAGGTTTATAATTTTATTTGAGAACTGTTATTAGCACTCCAAAAATCTCAATTTGCACTCCTCACAAGTGTTATTTTCTTTCCAAATATAGAAAGTTTGGAGTGCCAAATGAGAATTTTAGAGTGCTAATAACAATTTCCTTTTATTTTTTATTTTCTAAATCAGATATATGTTATGATAACATGTGAGGGAGGGAAAAAAAGATAAAATTCAGATTGTGCAAAACTAAATTACTGTCCATAATTTATTTAGTCATAAGAGACCAAATTGTCTTTTTACCTATTTTGTTGACAAATAGAGTTTTGTTAATATGTAGTTTGAATATATGAAAGGACAATAAACTTAAATGTGGGTTACATCAAGGTATCTCCAAAGGAGATGTCAAAAATTTCACATCAGCAATAACAGTAAAAAAAGACAACACAGGTGTTTTCCAACCGAAATGTCAATTCCAATGTGGCATAACATGGTTGGCAGGAAGGGGGGTTATTGTCACATCCCGGCCCGGGGCGGATCACTTCCCGGGCTCGCTCCACCACCGTAGCACGATATTGTCCGCTTTGGGCCCCAACCACGCCCTCAAGGTTTTGTTTCTGGAAACTCACACGAGAACTTCCCGATGGATCACCCATTCTGGGAATGCTCTCGCGTGCTACTCGCTTAACTTCGGAGTTCCCATGGAACCCAAAGCCAGTGAGCTCCCAAAAGGCCTCGTGCTAGGTAGGGATGGGAATATACATTTAAGGATCACTCCCTTGGGCGATGTGGGATGTTACAATCCACTCCCCTCAGGGGCCCGACGTCCTCGTCGGCACACCACGACCAGGGTTAGGCTCTGATACCAAATTGTCACATCCCGGCCTGGGGTTGATCACTTCTTGGGCCCGCTTCACCACCGTAGCACGATATTGTCTGCTTTGGGCCCCGACCACGCCCTCACGGTTTTGTTTCTGGAAACTCACACGAGAACTTTCTGATGGGTCACCCATCCTGGGAATGCTCTCGCGCGCTACTTGTTTAACGTCAGAGTTCTCATGGAACTCGAAGCCAGTGAGCTCC